GTTATGTAAACTTGTAACTTTTTAATGATTAAAGATTCATTTTTATTTACAATAGTTATTAAATAAAAGTTCGTTTAAAACTTTAATTAACTGGTTTTAAAACTAGTATTTGTGAATGAGGTATGATCGGGTGGTATCGGACACATGTGTGGAGGGTGGCTTCAGAAAAAGTAATTCGTTTACGTAATAATAATAATAAGCAACTTTTTTTTATATAAATATTAATTCATTTAATATTATGTACAAACCTATAATAGTAACTCATTTAATTCCAAAAAAATATTAGATTTAAAAATAGTGTTTTCAAAGGGTTTATTTCTATTATAAATAAAACTATGTTTATATTTTTAAATGATGACATATTCATTCTCATTCCTCATACATTATTATAGATGTAATTTTTAAAGACGATTTTTTTAAAAATGTGTTGAGAACAGTCCAATGCTAAGTTATTATATATTACAATTGTGTCACACTGGTAAAAAAGAGGTAAAATCGTTTAAAACTATGTGTCCGGGGCTACCCTCCAATTTTGAAACATGTCGTTTTTCTAACATTTTTTCTTTTATATTTTGTATATTATTAAGATACGCAATAATTATTTTTTTGTTTCTAATTCGATAAATAAGTGTTTGAATTTTTAAAAAGAGTCTTTTGACACTTTGTTTTATGTTAGCACATGTGTACAATCTATATTTTCCTGAAGTGTCCGGGGCTACCCGACTCCTATATATATATATATATATATATATATATATATATATATATATATATATATATATATATATATATATATATATATATATATATATATATATATATATATATATGTATATATATATATATATATATATATATATATATATATATATATATATATATATATATATATATATATATATAATATATATATATATATATATATATATATATATATATATATATATATATATATATATATATATATATATATATATATATATATATATATATATATATATATATATATATACATATATATATATTTATATATATATATATTCATATATATATATATATATATATATATATATATATATATATATATATATATATATATATATATATATATATATATATATATTTCAACATCATTTTGCACATATATAGAGTATTAAAAAACAACTATAACGTTGTTTAACTTAGATAAAGAATAAATCTAGTTAAATAAGAGTCACCCTAAACTTGGCAAATAAATTTTTTAGGTGAAGAAAAGTTGTTAGATAAAATAACAAGCCATTGTTAAGTTCTCAACTCTCATAAATTGAGTAGTTATTTTGTTCAAACGTGGTAAATAAAAGTTTTTTTATACTGATAAATATTAACATTATTTCATCAAATAATGATAAAATAATTTTAAAAATTTTTTTACATCGTAAAAAACTTAATTTATTTAATTTTATTAATAATTTTAAATAATAAATAGTAATATTATTCATAATAACATCTGTAATAATGAAGTTACTAAGATGATTTTTTAATTTAGTTTAATACTATTCAATATAAATAATACTTTATATTTGTTGAAGTACTTTCAACATATGTACTCTAAATCATATTTATTTTACTTTAAATCTAATTTATAACTACAAATAAAAAACAATTTCTAAGATTTAACTTTGAGTTCTATTTGCAAGTAAGCCATGACATAAAGGAGTTATGTAAGATCCATAAACTTAATATGAAAAACCTGATTCAGTATAAGAAGAAAGTGAAAATTGAAATTTCAGAAAATATAATCCTTGAAGGAGCTTATCGAATTCTAGTACAGGCAGTTGAATGTTGGAATTCAAAGCAACAGCGAACAATTTTCAAAAATACTCTTGAAGAAAACATTCCAAAGTGATCTATTTAATTCTCTCTTTTTATATCTTAAACTATTTTAATGTATTTTTACCTTGTAAACATATTTACAGAGGGTGTTTTAATAAAATGATAATGTTAAATAATAAAAGATGTTCAAAATTGTCATTTTTTAAAAAAAAAGTTTTTGAAAAAGCATTTTTTAGCGAAAAAGCAATCTTTTTGAATTTTTACTTTATTTCTTAAAAAAAATCTGCGAACTTCCATTTATTATATATCAATCGGAAGAATTAATAAAGGGTTTTTATTAATGTTTAATAAAGGGTAACAATTTCTCAAAAAACACAAAAAATCACAAACCTGCACCCTATATCACCAAAATTTTTGAAACTTGGTACAAATGTTTATAGACATATGCTAGGAAAGATTGTAATTTTTTTTCATAAAATTCCTTGCCGTTTATAATTTACAGCAATTTGAAGTTTCCTTGATTTTGACTAAAAACTGAGGGGGGAAAAGTGCCAAAAATCATTCCGTTTACTTTCACCTTAATATGGTACTTGTAATAATGCCACAATTCTGAAACTTTGTACCAAAAGAGTTTAAAACCTGTTAAATCCGAAAAATATAGTTTTTTAATATGTCAAAACATCGGAATGTAGCTTATTTTAAGATCCATAAAATACATTTTTATAACGCCGAGAAAAAAGGGCATTGACAATTAAAGCTATAAAAAAAATCTGACTGATATAAAAAAAATTTAATTTTGATTTTTTTAAAAACAAGATCAACACCTACTTTTTGAACCAATTTTGTTTTGGCCTTAAATTTACTTGCGAAATTATTGATGTTTGACACAAAACTTTTTAATATTTTTTAAATTAGATACTTAATATAACCCCACCTATTACCAATCAATCAAATTAGAAACTAAAAATTTAGTGACTTATTATCTTTTTTATTTTCATATGACATTTACAACAAAATTTAAACGTATATAAATGTTTTTTAAAAAAATACTAAACTTAAGTGATTTTATATATGCTTTACATTCACATTATTTACAAGTTGGTTCACAAAACATAATATTTAAAAAAAGAATGGATAAGACATAATAGACTCATAAATATAAAAATTTCTACTTCCTTAGGAAAATAATTTTTTTTAAGTCCTCTTTGGCTAAACAGTAGCAAAGTCCTGTTTTTGTTATCGGTACCTCAACTTTGCAAATAATGTGGACATAAGGAATCCAGCATTGGCTTTCCTTTGGTAGCCATTTAAACAACCGTGTAGGACCATTAGGACACATAAATTTTACAAGCACATCTTTTTCTTCTAAATTAATATCTTCAATGACTCCTATCCACCACTTTTGCTCATAGAAAACACAGGTGATTGGAAGGAAATTGAATCAGCTTAAAAGAAAAACAACATTCCGATATCACGATCGATATAACTAGTAAATAGCGCCAATATGACTATAACGAACTAAATAACAATTATGTGGCGACTATTTGAACAATAGTATTTTTGTTATTGAACGAAATTTTTTGTATAAATAGAGTTTTGTTGTTGTTGTTTTTAAGATACAAAAATATAAAGAAGATAAGTATATAGTAAATGAAAAAAAACGGTTAAGATCTTAAAAGTATAAGTTATAATACATATTCGGTATTATTTGTGATCGCCATCGGATCATAATTGGTAGCAGAGGGTAGTTTCTTCAACACGGAAGAATGGTAAAAAGAAAAAATCAAAAATCAAATAATCAAATGGAAGATCAGTTAACCGTTCAAAATGAAGTATCTGCATTGAACAGGATGAAAATAGTTCTAAAGTCTTCGTTTACGCGAACTAAACATCAAATTATTCAGCAAATTGGAGACGATGAAGCCACTTATAAAAATGAGTTACACGAATTGAGTAATCAATTAACAAAGACTCAAAACAAAGCTCTCGAGATAATGGTTGAATTATCAAAGAAATACGAACTTCTGGAATCAAAAGAAAATGTAGGAAAACTCAATACAGAAATTGAAAAACTAAACGACGAATTTGCGGAAATTATGGAACATGTAAATGAATGGATATTGCGCAATGGAAGTTTAAAATCAAGTTTAAAACAACAAAGGATGGAAAAAGAACTTAAAATGGAAACAAAAAAGCAATGTTATCAATGGTTAAGTACTCAAAAAAGTAATGAACAGTATGATGAAGATAATAAAAAGAAAATGGGAATAGCGAAATGGAACCAATCAAATCAACGCATATCATGCGTAAAATGGAAAATTAAATAATTGATTTGGATCAAAAGACTGCAAAAATTGGACATGATTTATGGAAACAACTCAAACGCGTCTCTATACCAATATTTAATGGTGATAAAAAGAACTATGAAAAGCTTCATTCTACGCATGCATTGATCAAGCCCCAGCGACATCTGAGTATAAATTACTTCAGTTACGTCAATATTTATGTGGAGACGCATTAAAAGCAATTGAAGGACTTGGGCATTCGTCATTCGCTTATGAAGCTGCAAAAGAAAGACTTGAAAGAAAATATGGTGGAACAAGGAGAAAAATTCTTATGTATTTGGATCAACTGAACAACTTTAAACCTATGAGGGAAAATAATCCAAAAGACGTTGAAAAGTTTGCGGATTTGTTGGATGTGGCAGTAACAAACTTAAAAGAAGCAAATCGAACAGAAGAACTTGGCGATGGGACATTGTACCATCAATTGCAAAAAAAAGTTCCTGAGATAATGTTAATTAGATACAAATGATGGGTGTATGAAAACAAATTAAACGAAAATGTTAAAACTCTAAAAAAGTTTATTGTTGAAGAAGCAGATTTTCAATTTGCAGCAACCGAAACTCTACATGGTTTAAAAAAAACTATTGGTAGCAAAGCACACGAAGGAAATTATTACTTTGGTAACAGTGATCAAAAAAAGAAAATAAATTGGATACAGAAATGTTCTGTTTGCAAAAACGATCATAAAATATGGGAGTGTCCAACGTTACAAAATCAAAATATTAAAGAAAGATGGGAGACAGCTAAGAAAAATAAACTCTGCTTTAGATGCTTGAATTCTAACCATTCGTCAAAAGAATGCAGGAACACAAGAATTTGTGGGATTGATGGCTGTACTGATTGATGGCCCATAATCGTTTGCTTTACAAGAAAAGTCATAAAAAAGAAACAATTTCTGAAGACTACAAAGAAAAAGACACGATATTAGAAAATTCTCATACGTCGAACATCCAATTTCTTTCAAATCACGTCATGAACTACATATCTCTTAGAACGGTGCCAGTTATTCTTCGTAATGGATATAAAAAAGTTGTGGTAAACGCATTGCTTGACAATGGAAGTACCAAGACATATTTGAACTCTGATGTAGCGGGTGAGTTGTCACTGCAAGGTAAAACCGAAAAAGTAACTGTAAACATAATAAATGGAAAAATTGATTCTTTCGAAACGATGCCGGTAGAATTTCAGTTGGAATCGTTGAATGGAGAAACAAAAATTACAGTGGAAGCTTTTATAGTTAATAATGTAACTGGAAACTTAAAAGCAGTTAATTGGGCAAATATGTCAAAAAGTTGGAAACATTTAAGAAAAATCGAATTCCCAAATATTAGACCAAAACCAAAAATTGACATTCTAATCGGTGTGGATTACGCTGAGCTGCACTGTGCAATTAAGGAAGTAAAAGGAGGATTTAATGAACCAGTGGCTCGACTCACGCCGCTCGGATGGACATGTGTTGGTGGTATTGGTGGATCTCTTCAAACCCATTTTACGAAAATAACATCTAGTACAAAGGAAATAGAAGATGCAAACAACACCTTAAAAAAATTATGGGAAATTGAAGGCGAAGAAGAGATGCAATTTAGAAAAATAATGACAAGTCCAGAAGACTCTACCGCCCTTAATATAGTAACTAATTCGCTAAAAACTGAGAACAGAAGATATGAGCTAAAATTACCATGGAAAGGTAATAGATATTTGGACAATAATTATACAATGGCGTTAAACAGATTACAAAATACGGAAAAACGGCTAATTAAAAACAAAAGTCTAGGAGAAGAGTACAATAATATTATAAAGCAGTATCAAGAAAAGGGGTACTTGGAGAAAATCAATAAAAGGGATCTTGGAGATGGTTGGTACTTACCACATTTTGCAATTCTTCATCCTGATAAATCAACTACAAAAGTCAGAATTGTGTTTGATGGATCCGCAAAATATAATGGTAAATCAATTAATGATGTTATTTATCAAGGTCCAAAACTTCAACAAGACCTTGTGACTGTTTTGCTGAGATTTCGAAAATACCTAGTGGCTTTAGCTTGTGATATAGCAGAAATGTATTTTAAAATTGGAAAACATAAAGATGACCAAAGGTACCAACGAATTTTATGGAGAAACCTAGATTCAACTGCCGAGCCTGAGGTATTTCAGTTTAATCGGCTCGTATTTGGAATCAACTCAGCGCCTTTTATGGCTCAATTTGTAACGCAAGAACACGCAAGAAAGTATGCAAAAAATTTCCTTTGGCTTCTGAAGCTGTTCTTGAAGCAACTTACATGGACGACACAATAACTTCTCTAGTTGATGGAAAAGTAGGAATTCAATTATACAAGGAACTCACGCTACTATGGGGTTCAGCAGGAATGTTTGCACGAAAGTGGCTTTCAAACTCGGTCGAAGTTCTTAAAATAACACCAGAAAATGATCGTGCAGAACATATAAATTTAGATTCTGGAGAATTGCCTGCAATGAAAACACTTGGAGTTGTCTGAAAAGCAAAACCTGATTTATTTAGTTTTCATTCTGTAACAACCGAAGAAAATACGGTATATACAAAACGAATTTTGCTTAAAAAAATGGCAACGTTATTTGATCCATTGGGTTTTTTGGCACCATATATCATTCGAATCAAAATAATTATGCAGGAACTGTGGATTGATGGAATTGAGTGGGATGATGCAGTTCCGGATAGGATTGCAAATAATGTTGATCAATGGTTTCAAGAACTAAACGATCTCCCAAAAATAAACATTCCCAGATGTTTACAAACAACCTCAACAGTAACAAATAGGTCAATTCATGTTTTTACGGATGCGTCTTGTAAAGCTTACGGTGCTGTTGCTTACCAACAATGTTTATATGACACAGGAGAAGTGACCTGTGTGATCATAATGTCTAAAGCCCGAGTAAGTCCATTGCAATCTATTAGTATACCAAGACTTGAGTTACTTGGAGCTGTCCTCGGTTTACGACTTGCAGAGAAGATTGTCAAGGCATTGAAGCTGGAAACTAAGGACGTAACTATATGGTGTGATAGTCTTAATGTTTTATGGTGGATAAAAAATCAAAGTCGAAAGTTGAAACCATTTGTTGCCAACCGTGTTGGATTCATTCAATCAAAGACTGAACTAAAACAATGGAGATACATACCAACAAAAACTAATGTAGCTGATTTACTAACAAGAGGGACAACAGTTAAAGAATTAGAAAGCAATTATGTATGGTGGCATGGACCAAGTTTCCTTAATTCTTTAGAAGAAAAATGGCCACAGAATCACATTGAAGTTACGCAAGAGGCTTCAATTGAAGTAAAAAAAAATTCCGTATTAATGAATTTTGCATTATCCACTGAAGTAACAAAGCAATTGCTTGATATAAACAAGTTTTCATGTTGGAAAAAACTTGTCAGGATAAATGCTGGATCCATCGGTTTATAGGAAATTGTCGATTTGAAACAGACTTTTGTAAAAAGGTGATATAGCAGCTGATAAATATCATGAAAGCGAAAAAGAAATCATAGCTAAAGCTCAAAAAGAAAGCTTTAAAGAAGAATATAGCAACATTGAAAAAGGAAAACCGATATCGATATCAAGCAAAATTATTTCTTTAAATCCGCAATTTGACGAAGACGGATTATTGCGATCTTGCAGTCGATTGCAAAATGCCCATTACTTACCCTACGATGTCAAGTATCCAATCATTTTGCCGAGAGGACATACAATAACAAAATTGATTGTTAAGCATTACCATGAAGCCAATCATGTGATGGGAACAAATCAATTATTAACAAAACTATCAGAACAATATTGGGTAATACGAGGACGAGAAGAAATCCGAGATGCAGAAGCAAAATGCAACAAATGTAAATTAAGAAGATGTAAACCTGCTCAACAGTTGATGGCCCCTTTACCAGAAATGGACCAGAAATACCAAAAATACTTTAAAGAACCACTACGTGCGTTTGCTAGAATTGGTATTGATTTGATTTTGCTGGTCCATTTCTTACTATGCAAGGTAGAGGGAAGATACGAAAAAAGAGATATTTGTGCTTAATTACCTGTTTACTATCACAAGCAGTACATTTTGAGATGACTTATAATCTAGATACAAAATCATTCCTCAATGCCTTTTATCGAATGGTGTATAGAAGAGGATTACCATTAGAAGTTTTAACGGACAATGGAACAAATTTTGTTGGAGGATGTCGAGAACTAAACGAAGTTGTCAATGACTTAGATATGGATAAAATTACTAACTCTACAGCTGATAAAGAAATCAAGTGGCACTTTAATGCTCCGCAAGGATCTCATCTTGGCGGTGTATTTGAAATAATGGTCAAAGCTGTTAAACGTGCAATGACTGGGATACTCAAAAAAGCCGATATTACAGATAAAGAACTCTGTACGGCATTTACAGGTGCTGAGAGTTTATTGAACTCTCGCCCACTAACATATCAGAGTGCCAATATAAAAGATGATATTCCATTAACTCCAAATCATTTTTTGATTGGGCAAGTTGGTGGACAATTTGCACCTGACTCAGTTCAATCTAAAGGCTATCATCCTAAAAAGCCCTGGCGTCAAGTGCAAGAACTACTAAGTCATTTTTGGAAACGTATTGTATTAGCAGTATCCAATCGTTCTTTAAGAGCGGTTCTCTCCAAAGTTAAATCTTCTGATGAAATATATATGAAATTTATGCCTTCAATGTTGTCATTGCAATATTTATACATTGTTTGTGGAGATAAAATATTACCCATATCTCTTTTCAAACTTGCTAGTGTTGCTAGACGTTTGACTGTACCACCTATCACATCACAATGTTGCTTACCGTGACTAATTGCAAAAAAGTTCCATTTAGCAGTAAAACCAAAATCTTCACAATGGAAACAAAGATTTAACATATTTTTGCAATTCTTACATTGACCTGCACATCAATCTGAAAAGTATTCAATATTTTTTATTTGAGGCAAATTTGTTTTTATATCATTGCAAACAACCTCAATAATTTTATAAACCATGTTCACATCATGGATTATATGATCCGAAATAATACAATAGGATTTGAGCTTGAGAATGCCTTTTTTTTTGAAATAAATAATCACTAGATGAAGTGTACATTGTAAATTTGTCCAATGAAAGCTTTGCACTTCATCCTGAACTTCAAATTTATAGTTTTATGAAAAATCACCCAGAAATAATGCTGTTACTTCATTCATATCTTCCTTCCTTGATCTCAGGTATAACGCTTGACTCTTTGCTAAATACAAATGTGGTGCAAGTTTTTCCAGTTTTCTACATACTAGTTCAATGTATTCAAACTCTGGCTCTTTATTATGTGTCAAGTTTGATCTATCTGTTGTTGTCCATTATTCAAATTCAATCTCAACATCATCTTCTTCAAGTATATCATAAAGTTTTTCAACCAATGCATTCATAGTTGCTGGGCATTTTTCACATTTCCTCATCATACAGTCTTTATTAGTTATATCATTATATCACAGACAATATACGGTTACAATTCTTTGTATGTCACACCAAGAGGATGTAAAAGCAGTTTCAAATTATGATGAATAGCACAGACGCATACAGAATGTGTTCCAAAGGCACCAACAGTAATACACCATTTAGGTCGCAAGGTGCAAAATCTTGAAAATCCTATTTTTATTTCTGGGTTCTTGGTTTTAAAGGCAACAAACAATTCCTTTAAATTACATAAGAGCAAACTTTTTTGCATGTGGGCATTTTTCTTTATGCTTACATAGTCCTTTTTACCAGGCATTACACGGCCACCGTCTTGGTAACACAGTCCTTTTTACCAGGCGTTATACATGTTCACCGTCTTCGTAAAAGGTCTTGACCAGTTGAACTGTTATATCAGGAAGAGCTTTTCCTATTTTAGGATTAGGCATGGTTAAAATACCTTTTTCGAATGTTAACTTACATGCAGTTCGAGCTACATAGTTTGTTACATGCAATGTTTCAGATACCTTTTTTACTCACCAGTCTGTTGGAGCAAGTGTCGCAAGTTGTACTTTTTTTGATGTTGATGTAGATTCTGCAATTTTGTTAGTTAACAATACCATCATGTTATCAAACAAGTCTGCTTTTTCCATATACTCATTATTAAAACTTGACTGTTCTTCAAAACTTTCTTCCGATATATTAAGGGAAATGGCTACTTTTTTTTAATGGAGGTTGCTAATGCTGTCAATTTTTGTTTACCTTCTCTGATTTTACCTGACTTGTGCAATCCTTTGACGTTAATTGGAGCTACTCCGGCAGATGCAAAGTGTGTATCTACACTTTCTTTTTTATTTTGAATGGATTCTTCATTAACAATATCAAAATCTTCATCATTTTTATTTTCACTTATACTTTTTGATAAACATGTCATAACTTTACTTCGACAGGTTGGACACAGTTTTTTTCCTGGTATAAGATTTAAAGCTATGGTTTCTGCTTCTAACACCGTATGCATTGTAATCACACGTAGAGATGCTTAAAAAGAAAGTAATTACATTACTTAAATAACATTAATTATATATATTATGTAAGAACATATTGCTTAAACAAGTAGCTATTAGTTTAATAGACATATTATAAATGCCTAACTATCTACTAATTATTGTAAATTCTCCATTAACTACTTACAAAAAGTTGTGTAAAAGTAAAAGATAACTAAATATAATTTTATTTAGTTATGTAACTTAACATGGTAATGTTAATTAGACATTATTATATCATTTTATTACTTTTTTTTATTGAAATTTTATATTACAACAAAACAATCAACAACAAAAGTTACATAATATTGTTAAATTTAATGACATGATATTATGTAATGAAAATGACATTATTATTATGTAATGAAAGTAAAAAGAAACAAATTTATAAAATGTTCAACTATGTTTTGGAATAACTTTGTAAATTTTTTACAAAGCTATTACAAAACAAAAATAATTGTATTTGTAATATTTTTATTTTTTTGCAAAATATCTTTAGAAACAAATTTTTTTTTTTTTTGCAAAGTATCTTTAGAAAAATTGAAAAACTAAAACATCAATAACTCCTTGATAAAACATAAGGCCAAATAAAAATTGGTTCGCAAAGTAGATTTATGTTTAATATTTAAAATAACGAAAACCAAAACTTTTTTTTCATCAGTCAGTACTATAGTTGTCAATGGCCTTTTTTATTGTCATTAACAAGTGCGTTTTGTGGATCTAAAAAAAACTATATTTTATTGTTTTGAGAGATATAAGTTTATGATTTTCAGATTCAGCAGGTTACAAACTTTTTTGGTACCAAGTTTTAGCTTGGCAACATTACTACATGTTTGTTAAAAGGGTTATGGTGAATTGACATATTTCCGGCTTCATCCCCCCTCTTTTTTCAGTCAAAAAATAACTAACTTCAAGTTGCTGTATATCTTAAAGGGTTGAGAATTTTTAAAATTTTTTACAGTCTTTCCTAACTTATATCTTTAAAAATTTGTGCCAAGTTTCAGCGATTTTAGTGATGCAGTGCAACTCCTTGTTTTTTTAGAAATTTTTACCCTAAAGTTACATTTCATGCCGTAAAAATTGCATAGAAAGATTAAAAAATCTTTTTAGACTAGAAAATAATAGTATACTTAAATGTGACTTTCATTAAATTTTGTATGTTTCTGTAAGAATCTGAATACGTATGAATAAATGAGCCTTCTTCTTATAGTCCAGTATAGGTTTTGATGCCGCCCAGACCTGCCCAAGAAAAACTATTTTCAATTTAAAAATATTTTTACTTAGATTGTTTTTTTTTTTGTTTTTTTACATGAAACATGACAGTCATTTTTAGTACGTGCGAAAAATCACGCTCCAATTTTTTTATAGACATTCTTTTGACATAAAATTATGTATGTCAAAGAATATGTCTATAATGTAAACAAAATATATATCAATATATAAAATACATACATAAAATAAAACTATTAGATTAAAAATAAAATCTAAAAAAAAACTGATTTTTTTTTAGATAAGTTTTCCCCAAGAAAGGGGTTTTGCGGAGTTTAAAATAACCATACAAAATACAAACACTGATACCATTTAATAATAATAGTTTCAAACTCTTTCAATTAAAAGTAAATTTCATTTTATAGTTATCATGTAATTACATAATAATTTAAATGCATAGTTATTGCTGAGCTTTTGTTTGCTTCGGGTAAATTGCTATCGGCTTCTATATCAACGCAAACTAGTTGTCGATAAACATCAGGTAAAATCTCTTCAAAAACATCCTGACATCTTATGGAATTTTCAAATAGTAAAAGTTACAACACCACTTCTGGTAGTACTGAATTGCATATAGACTTCAGACGTATTTTCAAAATAACACCGGAAATATAGGGAAATGATGTTTCTAAACGTCGACAAAAACATAAGTTAAGTTGTCAACTCTTGAGGTTTTCATTGCATGATTCAAACTTTTCTGTGACATTTGTGAAAACTTTCTTTTGCATTTTTGCTAAAAGTTCTAACTGACAAAATTAATTCAACCATAATTTAGGTCCATGAACACAAAAATTTTATGAACACAAAAAGGAATTTCACACCATAAATATTTCTTATTGATGATTAAAACTGTTTGTAGATAAATATTTTCAAATTTATTTGGATAAATTAGACTTTGATAGAACAAAGATTTTAGTATTGTTCTTAAATAGACAACAAGATTTATATCTATATTCAATATTTCTGGTAATAATATTGAATAAAAAAATTATTAGACGAACCAGGTTGATAAAATATGTCTGTGATTTGCGCTAAAACTTTTTTTCATCGATGGCTGTTAAAAATAAAGAGCTTTAGATATTAGGAACTTTTCCATTTGATAATATGAGACCTTTTCCATTTCTGAATAATATGAGAACTTTTCCATTTCTGGAGTATGGCTTGCTTGGTTTTCTGGAGTATGGCTTGCTTGGTTTAGTTCAGAGACAAATCTTTTACGCTGGTTACTAACAATACAAGACTCTACTGAACGACATAAACAGCACAGACTTACACATTACACCTATACACCCTTATGCACATATAGCCTGTTTACATCTTTTGCATGCTTTTTGTTCTTTCATAGATAAACTATCTTTGTTTGAACTCATCCTTATTTAGATAATTTTTTCTTTTAATAGATATGTTGTTGAAATGTAGATACAGATTTGTATGTTATCTATATGTGTTTATCATGTGTACTTGAATTTTTCATTAAAGGATTCATCTGAATTTACATATAAGTATAAGAGCGATTCTTATAAACTAGCGGCTTTCGACTTGTTTTTATGAAGTATGAAGTATGAGTTCTTATAATATGAGGAAGTTTATTTATTTGCGAATATATTCATTAAAATTGAATCGTCTGATAAACTTTAAGATAACTTCATCTTTTGGTTGATTTTGGAAAAACTACTGGCACCATCAAATCCCTAATTTGCAACAAATCAACTCAATTGAGTCCGTTTCTTTAATTATAATTTTAAATATGTATTGCGCCTCTTGTGATTCTGTTATTCTTTGAACAGTATGTGTTAGAAGAGTGTGGATAGGTAGTGGTCTAAAAGAAAAATCTTTTCATAATATAAAAATATGATCAATTTGCAACAACCTTGCATAATTCAGAACTTTTTATATCGGATTTTCATTAATTTGGAATTAATGCCACTTTTTGATTATTTCAAAGCACTGCGCAAGGAAATGAGACTGAATGATTTTAAAGGTTTATTCGCTTAAAAATTAAGGTGCTTAACTTCACCTTTAACATGAAATGGTGTCACTGCATCCCAAAACATTAAATCTTTA